TGGATGTATATTATTTTTTTTTACCTGCATATCCTTCGGTTGTCCGAATTCTAGGATCGTCGCCTGTACACAACAGGATGTCTTAGCCAATTGCTGATCTCTTCATATAAATACAACACTTTATTTAGTAGTCGATCAATTTAAGGTCCAAGTTCCAATTTCGTCTTGACTTCACCTCAACCTAACTGTCGCTAGACCTAGCTGACGTCAGATTTTCTCAAAGTTCTAACACTAAGACCCAAGCAGAGCTATTCCCCAAGCCTGCAGTTATATTAATCTGCTAATTCAACAATCATTCAATTTCGTATTCCCACTTAAGATATGCCACTCAAATTCAGTTTTTGTGCTCCACGGCTTAGAGCAGAGAGCATTCAAAAAATGCTGCAAGAACTGACCGAATCACAGCAATTTTCAAAGTAAACATTTTTGCTGCCCTCCCCCCCTTCATCTCGTCATGTGATTGTGTATGTGTGTGTGACTATCAAGCAAAAAGCGCCAGGATTTTTATTTATAAAACACTTGAAAAGGAAGCAGAACAGGACGCACAGCTTGAAGTCCAATTTTTTTTTGGCAGCATATTGACGCAGGGATTTTGCCTCGACAAAAAAGGAAGAAAAAAACACAGTGGCAAATGTGCAATGAGCACTGAGCAGAGATCAAACAGTAGTACGACCAGGCAGGCGGTCCGCCTGGCGAATCCAGTTGCCAAGTCCTTTGAGGTTTTCTGGGTTTGAGTCGCTTGAGTGAAAGTTTGTTTTGCTTTTGCAAATGTCACATGAAAAATGCGTTCGCTGTGCAAATGCCGGCACTTTGCATGGGTTGCCTCACTATAAAGCATGGTTTGGGGGTCTGTCAACCCCTCTCCCCCACTGCCCCATGCACCACCCATTCGAAGCAGGGTGCTGGTCGCCTTGCACGAAATTTCCATTTAATGTGTTTGCGCAAAGTATTAAAAGGCAACGACGATTGAGTATCGAAAAGTAGTAAAGCAAACCGAGTAGCACCCCGATAGCCAAACAGAGGAGGGGACAACGGAGTAGGGGGGATGGTGTAGGGTAGGGTGTCCATTCCAGGGGTCCATGGCGAGCGCTGGCATTGCCTGCAGCTTGCAGTCGCCAGAGGGCGCTGGCTGCTGAGTGATTGCCATGATAAGTGGCCCATTATGATGCCAGTTTGCACAGCGAGATTGCGCTGCGCTCCATTGGAGTTCGTCAGTTGTTCAGTTCCTCAGTCCTTCAGTGCCTCAGTTGTTCAGTTCGTCGGTTTGTCAGTTGCCTTCGTCTGCCTGGCCAATTCTTTTTTAATGCATATCAAAGTGGGCAAAGTTCTGGCCCCCAAAAAGTGCGTCATTGTTGTAGCGCTGGACTCGAGTCTCGCAGTATTTTTTTTTTCTGTTCCCATCAGTTTCTTTGCTGGAACGGCTGTTGACAAAAGACATTTAATTTTGCCTTAGTTTGCTTTTGCCCGCTTCGAGTATCTCTGCCATAAAGTTTGTCCTTCACTCCCTCATTTGCTTCTGCTCCTTCTGCTTTTTTCATGCCTGATTTTTGGTCTACGCTAGCGAAAACTTTGATAAGTGAAATTTATTGTGGGCGCTTTGAGTTGTCCAGTCTGCATGGAAAAGCTCAACTTATGGCTGCGATATTCCCTCCCTCCTGGGCGTATTCTTGTTTAATGGCACCTACAGAGCAGTTTTCAACAGCAATCACGGTTTTGTGGTATATATCTGAAATTTGTCGTTTATTGCAACTGCAATAAGCACTTTTCTGGCACGATAAGCAAATCGATAGCTGCGATTATATTCTCTTTCTAGCTGCTCAACTTAGACTTAGATGTATCCTAATTAATATGAATTGAACTGCTCAGCGACTAAATCGCAGCCCCGCCCCAAACACCTGACACATTGGAGCGCATTATGCATCGATCATTACTCATGCCATAAAAGGAATCCACTTAATCTCGCAACGAAACATTCAAACATTTATTAAAGACATGACAGACCCTTGTTGGGGGTTGCAGCCCCCTCAGTTATTCAAGCAAAAACTGCAACAAAAGGTACAATTTATAGTTCGACACCCTTGGCGTATAAAGCCTGCCCGTCAAGGGGACGATTTGGGGAGGTCGCACGCACACGGCCAGCCCCGGAGCCCCGGCCCAATCCAAGGACATCGGGTGGGTGGCAAAATGTAATTGCTGCCGCCCCAAAATTTGGCATAGACCTTGAAAAAAAATATCAGCAGTGAATGCCCCGTCTAGCGAATGGGGAATGAAGCGTGAGGTGAGTGATAGAACTTAAAGCTCGAACGCCCGTGCGCATGCAATGAATATTTACGAGCGGGCGCCGTTGGGTCCTCTGAGGATTATTTGGCTTTATGCAATTGCGCGCAAGTAAAAATCTAATTTATCCGCCTGCCACCCTTCGTTTTGTTTGACAATTGCCTGAAATGATGCAGTGCATTGGCATGAGACTCGCTCTGCCGGCACGTACCCGGCTATACCCGGCCGCTTTAAGGGAATTTCCCAAATTTTCCTAGCAGGCTCAAAAAAATTGCTGTGCTATTGGCTGCAGCTACCCTTTGTCGGCTAAGGTCCGAGCTTAAAGATTTGGGGTGGCTTCAATACGCCCGGTGGTGGGTGGTTGGGTGGTTGGGTGGTTGGTAGATAGGTCTCTGGCCTCATCATAACACCACATGTTCTAAAATTGCTGCTGGCGTCGCCACGTCGCCATCTCGTACTTCATGTAGATTTCTATCTATTCTATTGTCTGACTTTTACTCGTGGTAGATTTTAACATTCATTCCGTTTGATGAGGCGCAAAGTTGTGGAATTTATTGCCTCAGCCTCGACAAAAAGTTAAGTGGATTTTACGTAAATTAATGAGTCCACTCCTTTCCCAGCCCCCATTACCCAGCCCCCAGCCGACCGCCTGAGGGGTTGCAACTGATTCGTTAAGTGTTCTCGCAAATGCAAATTCTATTGCAGCTGTTGGTCTGCCAAGTCTGGCAAGTTTTGGCATGCGGCCGGGGGCAAACAAAAGGTACAGATCATTTTTATTGAGTAAGATTGGGTGGAGAGTGAGTGTAAAGCTATTTTAGGGGTGCACTGAGAACGTAAACTTTAAAAGCAGTATGTTAAGATCTGTAATCCCACAATACAGATAATATAAGATAAGCTGAGCGCTTATCAGAAAATAATCTATTTGCCTAGTGTGTAGTGCAATAAAGTTCTGTAAAAGACTATCGCCGCTTTCGTCAAGCAAATAATTAATGTAATCTTATGTAAATATAGTATGCAGCTATTAAAACCAGTTGCGAATGCATGTACTCACAGCAGATGAATCCAGGATTGCGCCAGCTGCAGTCATGTACAAGACCGAATCTCTTCAGACGCAGGCCACAATGCCCATGGTCCGGATACGATGCATGGAGGGCGTAGTCGGTAAATGGCTGCCACTGCAGCAAAATTGGAGCAGTCGCAGCTGCACGCTGCCGGAACGCTATATGGAAAGCGCCCAGCGTATCCATGCCTTTGAGACCCGCGACAGCGATGTGTTTGTGGTGACCTTTATGAAGTGCGGCACCACTTGGATGCAGGAGCTGGCGTGGTTGCTCCTAAATCAGCTGGACTTTGAGGCCGCCAAGAGCAGTTATGTAATGGAACGCAGTCGATTCCTAGAGTGAGCCGCCCACATTACAATTTATTATCCAATTACTGAGCATGCCTCATGTCCCATCTTAAAGGTATTCAGCGATCACGCCGCAGTCCTATGATACGATAACAGCATGCGAGGAGATGGTCAGTCCACGTTTGATAAAATCCCATTTGCCGGCTCAATTGTTGCCACAGCAGGTTTGGCAGCAGGGCCGCAAAATAATCTATGTGGCTCGCAATCCCAAGGATGTTGTGGTCTCCTCGTATCATTTTTTGAATGGGATCAAAATGTGGAAGGGCGATTTGGATACATTTGTGAATGAGTTTATGAAGGATGAGATTTTATACACCTCCTTCTGGTCACATATTGTGGATTTTTGGAGAATGCGCAACGAACCCAACATTTTCTTTGTAACCTATGAGGAAATGAAGCGGGATTTAAGAGCTGTCGTTAAGAGACTATGCAAGTTTTTATCTGTGGATGATGTTAAAGATAATCAAATGGAACAATTGCTGCAGCATTTATCATTTGACAATATGAAAGGTAAGATATGAGAGTAGTTTCCAAAAGACATACGTATTCAATGGACACTTTTCATGTCTCAGGCAGCAAATACAGCAACCTGACGGGTCTTTTAAGAACAACGCAAAATACTACCAAGGACTTTGAGTAAGTTCAAGATTTGATGTCTTATGCACTAAGATTTATACTCTATTTTGCGGCATTTCTAGATTCATGCGTCGTGGAGTTGTAGGTTCCTACAACGATGAGCTGAGTGCCGAGCATAGGCAAAAACTAGATAAATGGACCAGCGATTTTTTGAAGCCATACGATATTAGTGAGTCGGATATATTTGGTGAATTGTAAAAACATTTTAGAATGTTTGCTTTTCTTTGTGATCAGCACCAAAGATAATTTCAATAAATTTGCATAACAATTTGATTAAATATGCAAGCTTGTGCTGTTTTAATCTTTTGCCTTATCCGCATTACTCAATTTAGCTTTAGCTATTAAACTGTCGTAGAATATAAGATCGCATTTGACGCGTATAAGAGATATGCTTGGCGCTACGATTCGTTTCAGTTGCTCAGTCTTCGCCAAAACATGCACGGAGAATGCAAACTTAGGGGTCTACAATTATAGAATATACTTAGTATAGATCTAAAGTTCTACAATAACGAACCTCGTGTAGATGATCCGTATGTGCTATTAAGTTTGCTGCGCTTATAATCTGTTATCGAAGAACAATCTATTTGCCTAGCGAGTAGTGCACAAAAAAATAATTGATAGCATTTTCTTAACTAAATATAGTTTTAAGCTATTAAAACAACCAAACCAACCTAGGAGTGCACCGGCTATAGTCATGTACGAGACCGAACCTCTTCAGACGCAGGCCACACTGCCCATGGTCCGGATACGCTGCATGGATGGCGCGGTCGGCAAATGGCTGCCACTGCAGCAAAATTGGAGCAGTCGCAGCTGCACGCTGCCGGAACGCTATATGAAGAACGCCCAGCGTATCCATGCATTTGAGACCCGTGACAGCGATGTGTTTGTGGTAACCTTTATGAAGTGCGGCACCACTTGGATGCAGGAGCTGGCGTGGTTGCTCCTAAATCAGCTGAACTTTACGGCCGCCAAGAGTAGCTATCTAACGGAACGCAGTAGTTTCTTAGAGTGAGTCGCGATTCACAATTTTGTTTGCACATTACTATCCCGGTTTCATTCATCTTATAGATTTTCAGCAACCATTCCGCTGTCTGTTGATACGATAACAGCATGCGAGGAGATGGTCAGTCCACGTTTGATAAAATCCCATTTGCCCGCTCAGTTGTTGCCACAGCAAGTCTGGCAGCAGGGCCGTAAAATAATCTATGTGGCTCGCAATCCCAAGGATGTTGTGGTCTCCTCGTATCATTTTTTGAATGGGATCAAAATGTGGAAGGGCGATTTGGATACATTTGTGAATGAGTTTATGAAGGATGAGATTTTATACACCTCCTTCTGGTCACATATTGTGGATTTTTGGAGAATGCGCAACGAACCCAACATTTTCTTTGTAACCTATGAGGAAATGAAGCGGGATTTAAGAGCTGTCGTTAAGAGACTATGCAAGTTTTTATCTGTGGATGATGTTAAAGATAATCAAATGGAACAATTGCTGCAGCATTTATCATTTGACAATATGAAGGGTAAGATATAAGAGTAGTTTCCAAAATAAATGCATATTCAATGGACACATTATTTATTTCAGGCAGCAAATACAGTAATGTGACGGACCTTATCAAAAAAAGGCTAAATACTACCGAGGACTTTGAGTAAGTTCAAAATTTGATTCTCGACAAATCAATGTTAACATAAGAGTTTTAGATTCATGCGTCGTGGAGTTGTGGGTTCCTACAACGATGAGCTGAGTGCCTTACAAAGGCAAAAACTTGATAAATGGACCAGCGATTTTTTGAAGGCGTACGATATTAGGGAGTCGGATATATTTGGCGACCTATAAGTAGATTTTGAAAATGTTGGCTTGAGAAGATAATTTCAATCAATTTAAATAAAAATTTGTTGCAATAACCAAGCTTCTGTTTGAATCTTCTTATCCGCATAACGACAGCTTATAAACTTTCACAACGTATAAGATGACATTTGGCGTGTATAAGATACATGCTTGGCTCTTAAATTTGTTTTAGCTGCTCAGTCTTGGTCGAAACGTGCGCGGTTTAAGCCGCTTAAACTCGTGTTGAGTGTTTTTTTTTATGATGTTGGGCCGTGAGCTTTTATTAAGGCATAAAAAAACTATTTTAATGCTGTTGCTGTTCGCTGTAATTTGCAATGTTATCATTTATCTCTACATAATGGACACGAAAACAGAAGCTTCAACAACCAGAACAACATCAACATCAACAACAGCTGCAGCAACAGCAGCAGCAGCATTTGGCCCAAAGATGGCAACAACGCCACATGAGCTCATTCAGTCGGAGACGCTAGTGATGGCCGGTCTGGGCGCATTAGGTCGACCGGCGGAGAGCAACTGGACTGCTGAGCAGCTGCTGGCCATGGAGAGCAGCCAGCGCGAAACGGGTTATAATGCCTGGCTCTCAGAGCGCATATCGCCGGCGCGTAAGCTTTTCGATATGCGGCATCGCAGGTGAGTCGCGGCAGCCAAGTATAAGAGCTTCACTCTCATCAACTGCGCTAACTGTTGACAGCTGCAAAAAGCTCAAGTACCCATTGGAAAAGCTCCCAGCTATCAGTGTCATTATCACCCAACACAACGAACAGCCGAGTGTGCTGATAAGAACGTTGAACAGTCTGAGGAGCAGAACGCCGGCGCGCCTACTGCGAGAGATCATACTGGTGGATGATGGCAGTGACCTGAAGCAAGAGTACCTTGCGAGAATTCTGGACGTGCAGTTTCGGGGCTTGGTGCAGCAGCAGCGTCTGCCAAGGCAGCTGGGCCTGATGCAGGCGCGGCTGGCGGGCGCTGAGAAGGCGCTGTCGAAAGTTCTCGTATTTCTTGATGCCCATGTGGAGGTCACTAGGGGTTGGCTGGAGCCCTTGTTGGCACCGCTGCTCGAGAACAATAAGACCTGCTGCACACCCGTCGTGGATACCATAGACTATGAGACCTTTGCCTATAGGCGCGGCAAGCCATCGCGTGGCTTCTTCGACTGGGACTTTAACTACGTGCAGCTGCCGCTGCTCAAGGAGGAGGAGCAGGCGCTGCCTGCGCCACATGACAATCCCATCATGAATGGAGGTCTGTTTGCCATAGATCGCAGTTGGTTCTTTCAACTGGGTGGTTATGATGAAGGACTGCGCATTTGGGGCGCGGAACAGTTCGAGCTGAGCCTCAAGATATGGCTGTGCGGTGGTCGTCTGCTGGAGGTGCCTTGCTCCAGAGTGGGACATCTCTTCAGGAATGGCGGTTTCCATGCGCAGTACATGAAAACCGAAAGTGGTAGCAAGGCGGTAGCTAGGGTAAGGCCCTCCAAGAAAGTAGACTTGACCAAGTGACTAATCTCATAATTCCCATGTCCAGAACTACAGACGTGTGGCTGAGGTGTGGTTGGATGAGTACAAGGACAAGCTTTATGCGAATATGCCGCACTTGACCCACATCAAGGTGGGTTCTTTGAAGAAGCAAAAGGCACTACGTCAGCGTCTACACTGTAAGCGTTTCAAATGGTTTTTGGATCACCTGGGTCGCGACTTTTTGGAGCAGTATCCAATGGACGAGCCTTTGGATTACGCCTTTGGCGCTGTGCAAAGCTTGGCGGCGCCCACACTGTGCTTGGAGCGAACAGAGACTGCGGAACATCCGCAACTGCTGCCTTGCGATGAGGATCTCATGTATCCCAAGTTGGAGCAAAAGTGGTCTTTGAGCCATTTCCGTGATTTACATTCGAGTTCCCGTTGCCTGGAGCTGCACCAGCAGCATCCAAATGCTGAAATTTGGCTCTGGCAATGTCATCATCATGCTGGCAATCAGTTTTGGTCCTTCGACCCCAATTCCAAGCAGATTATCCATGGCCAGAACAGAGCTGAGCAACGTTGCCTCGAAGCTCTAGTGGAACAGCGCAAGGTGGTTGCCAATATCTGTGATACCAATAATCTGCGGCAGCAATGGAAGTTCGGATATGCAAATGAGAAACTGCTGGAGGACTTTTGGAAGAATTTACTTCAGTAGAAGAAGTCAAAGAAGGGCTGATTGACTGACTGCAAGACCTTTTACCTGACCATGATTTGAAGATACTCATTAGCTTTACAAATAATTGGCAAGTAATTCTAATAAGTCTAACAATACCCTGTCTCCATGGAAAATATACTAAATGGGTAGCTTTCTACCTGTCTGTCTGTCTGTACGTCTATCGTGCCGATCTCAGAGACTGGGTGCAGGGTATCTGCTAGTCGGCCATTGCCGAATAGAGCATTTTGTAAGTACAATAAAAAATTTATTTAAAATTTACTTAATTCCTCTTTGAGTTTGATTAACGGCATAGCTTTATTTTTGATGTGGTACCTTGGATTTGGCTTGGACTCCTTCGAGTTTTTCATTCCATGCTCTCGCTTCGGAGGCTCCAAATATCCTCACCTGATACGTTAGATAATAAAAGTTGTATATATGTGGCATATATTCGAATTTTGTGCAAATTAGGCGCAAAGAGGCTGGCACGTTGAGCTAAAAAGAGATTTTATTATAGCCGAAAAAGTGGTTCAGTGGCCGGAAAAAACTTACATCGACCACATCGTAGTAGAACCGATCGAGGAAGTATTTGTGATGCTCCAGCGATGCATTCAGTGGTCTGCCCAGGTGTTCTTTTAATACGAAAGGTATAAAACGGTGATCGCCCAAGTGATCTCGGCTATCGCCAGCTAGAACATTCACATTGCTGAGACAACGGCCCAATTGCTCAGTTGCGGCGTCGCCCTGTGGGCTTGAGCTGCAGATGGTCTCATTAGGCATGGCCTTCAGGACGAATTGCCTAAGTGCAGCGCTGCTAAAGACAATACCCGATCGCTGGTACATGAAGGTCTGAAAGTAGAGGGAAAAGCTGTTCTTATATGTATAGTCTCAGTTTGGGTCAGCACCTGGTTGGCGGCATTGCGCATCTTGCAGCCAAAGTAAATGAGCTCCTCGGGCCTGTAGGGCTGCAGCATGTAGCGTAGGTTCTCCACCACGACAAAGCTGCGAAGAGTGTTAGTCAGTGACGGACTTAGTCGTAGAGCTCAGCTCGTACTTATCATCATTGGCATAGAGAAACCAATCGCCCTCGTCGAAGTGATATTTGTACACGTACTCAAAGTGAGCACGCATTTGCATCCATTTATCATTCAAATTCAGAAAAACGGCGGGCTCCAGCTCCTCGTGGGCATCATCGCTGACAAATAGATACTTATCACAGTGCTTGGACCAGGTGCGTTTCACATGCACCGCCGTCGACTCTTGCCGATAATAGTAGGTGGAGATAATGCAAAAGATACGCGCTGCTGGCGGAGCAGCCCTTGCAGCTTTTGGCTCTGGAGCCCTTTGCAGCAACATCATGACCAGCAGACAGATCAGTCCGAGAATCGCCAATTTCTGGATGGTACGGAGTATGGAGCAGACCATCGCAGAGTAGCCGCTGCACGGATTTATGATGCTAATTTTATTTTTGCCACTCAGAAAGAAGCGTCGCGTGCCTAAGAGCTGTCTCATTTTAAAACTGGTACTGAAATCAGCTCGAAAGATGATGATGATGATATGTCGGCTGTCTCGGCTGTGAACCGTGGCTTGTGGTCTGTACTGGCTACAATTTAATTATATTGAGTGCTTTTGTCTGTCTCAGTTTCTCGGTTTCCGCCACCTCAGCCCAACTCTCGATTGGCTCGCCGCATACAAATTGCCTTTTTCAATTAGAAATATTAACTCACCTGCCGGGAGCTGTCTCGGGCAATGCCTTTGCGTGCCGCGCAAGTCGAAGCTGATGCAAAACTTTGGTTACGCTTCGTTTGCAGTTTGAAATTGAGAATTGACAAGTGCAGTTGAATGCGGGAAGCGTTAAACGAGCCAAAGGCGCAACACTAGTCAGCTGCTGGGCGGGTTGAGCTATTGGGAGGAATATCTCCAATGTTGAATTGGTAATGTACCTAATGGGCTGAGCAGCAGCTGGCGAAGGTGTTGAAAGCATGGCAACGTAAGCGAGTGCTGACAGTGAGAGTTGTTGGTAACGAAAGGGTTAAGACCGAAGTTTACATTATTGAACGGAATAGTGACATGCTAAATTTTATGGAGTTTATATAAGACGGAATATACATAGGGTTACATTTAAAGAGATTACTATAGTCGACTTCTTTCACTTACTGAATTTCCCATGAAATTATGCAATTTGCTAACGAAATTTGTAAACAGTAGTCGATAAAGGTGAACGAAGAAGTGAAATTTTATGGAAGCTTTAAAGATTTAAAAAGCTTACTATTTTAATGTTCTTCACTGAACTGAGCTTCTCTTCAATAACTACGATTTGGTAACGAAAGGGTTAAGGAAGTTGTTTATATGAGTAATCGAAGAATTGACCTTTTGAATTCATGTAGTTACATTTAAGAGTAAACTTTTTAAGAGATTTTAAAGATACTCAACTCCTCCCAAAAACTGCAGTTTGATTGCAAAAGGCTTGAGAGCGAAGAATATAACTGAACGAAACATTTACATTTACATTTTCTTTAATTTACTTCACTTGCCTGATAATCTGCAATTTGACACCGGAAAGGTCGAGTTTATTGACTTGCTGTATTTTATGGAATATTTTTATATAAAGTAATGGAAATACATAGTTACATTACTTCATTTACCGAACTTATCTTGAAAAATTGCGATTTGGTAACGAAAGTGTTAAGACGTAAGCTGATATAAGAGAATGCTGATTTTTACGGAAGATAAAAAGCTGACTATCTTCATGTCCCTCAACTCTACTCAACTCCCCTCAAAAACAGCAATATGTTAGGCATTTCATGCGCTCTGGATGTTATTAAGCCATCAGTCAGTTCGCTGAGATGTATGCCAGATTTGCATAGACATGTGTATCTTTACAAATTCCGTTGAAAAAAACACAGATAACTGTCGCATTAGATAACAAATGTCAGCTATTGTTTGATTTGAAGGTGTTTTGCAACCCAAAAAATAAAAACAACACACGATACAATAACTTATATAATAACATGTGAGCCGATTCACGTGAAACTGTCAAAAAAATACGTATAAATATAAGTAAAGGTAAGCGATATTTGTTCATATAGGGCATTAATGTCTCCATTTACGTGCTCAAATTACCAGATGAGTTGTCATTGTTGGCTAACAGGTTGGCAGCACAAAATGGTAAACAATAGGCCTACACACACACACGAGTACAGTGAGGCACAGGAAACAGCAGCCGGAGCAGCGGCAGAAAAATGCGCAATATTGCATACAATTTGCCTTTCGCCCTTTGGCAAGAGACTCCAATAGCGATTCGAATGCCGAGCCCGAAGACAGTGCCAGGCATGCTGCAACAATGACACTTTGCAGTTGCAACAAAACGGAAGTAATTTTGCGCAGGCAGCCAATGGAAACAAAGGGCTTAGGAAAACGAAGACCTGGCTAGACAGGGAGACAACTTTTCATTGATGAACACGTATCTCAATCCACGTGTGTCTGTCTGTGTGTGTGTGTGTCAGTGTGTTTGTATGTGGGCTGAGATTGTGGACCCGTATGTGGCATGAATTATGTGAGAAACTGTTGAGCTAAGTAGTTAGATGATAGATGATATGTGGGTTACACGGAAGTAAACGTCGCCGTAACCCAAGATGCTGCCCTCTACACGTAATTGAAATATCCGAAATACGGAAATACTTTGGCCGATTTATAGCCAACTGGCAGCTGCGACAGTTTTTGGTCCCTTTATTAAGACAACAGCTCCATGGAATTGCGCAGAGGTTTGCCAAAAATACGTACATGATACATAAAGTAATATAAATCAAATATTCTGGGTGGATAAGACACCTGGAATGTAATTGCCCGTCTTGATATGGGGACCGTATGCTGTTGTAAGTATTTAAATTAAGAATTCTTCAAAAGATTTTTCCAAAATACAATAATGAGCAATATTTACCAAATCCGTGGAGTGCCAACTCATATTCCGTAGCCAGGGAATATACTCGTAGCCCTTTATAAACAGTTCGCTTGTTACGATCGGTATAAAAGTCTCGTGACCGAACTCATCCCGAGTATCGCCTGTGACCACGCCCACATTCATTAAACAGCGTCCAAGCTCCAAATCCTCTGTGAAGCCCTGCATTTTCATGCAGTGCTTCGTATCTGGCTTCTCGGCCTCTACTGTATAACGCCTTAAGGCCTCTCGGCTCAGCACGTAGCCACTTTTCCAATAGTTGAAGGGCTAGCGAGAAGTATTCATAGACTTGGTAGGTCAATTGCTAGATTGTGGAACTTACCAGGTTGGTGCCAGGATACTTGAGCTCATAGCCCAGATAAATGGGTTCAGAGGCAGAAAAGTTTTGAAGCATATAGCGGAGATTTTCAACGGCTACAAAACTGTGGGCACAAATAGAAAGATATTTTATTTAATAATATTAAAACAATATAATAAGACATGAGGACAATCTATCCTACAACAGGGGTATAGCTACCTCTACAGGGGCATAATAATTTTGTGGTGAAATGATAAACTCATTATTATAATATAATAAGATATTAAGGATCCTAAGCTTATCTGATTCGAATTACCTTTGAGAACATATAGTTATACAAATGTTAGGTTTCAATATTTTTGAATTCTTTCACTTGGAACTTTAAGCGTATAAGTTCTACAAATTAACTATTATTTTAGCCCAATTAAATTGACTTATGAAAAAATAATAAAAATGTTTAATTTCAGTTCATTTGAGCTTGTTCAGTTAGAACTCTCAGCGGAATAGTTCGGCAGAACAAACTCTCCATTGAAGCCAACAAAATCATATTCACAAATATTGCAAACGCTGATCTGTTGTGCATACAAAGAAATCCATAGGTAAGACATCGAAGATAAAAACTACAAATAAACGTAAAGCCAAATGCAAACAGTTATTATTTGAAAACCGTGTCAACAAGATTCGGCAAGTGAAGATCCGAATATCCGTTTCTGAATGAATGGCGACCCAATGCAAACAATGCCAAGTTCAAGCCGCAAATGTGCGCGGTAAACAAACTAAACAAGAAGAAAACAATAAAAAAAAAAACTAAAAATAATAATAAAATGAGAAAAAAAAACACATTTAACACGCGTACACTTAAACAAATTCTATGCACACACACACGTCAGCTCGAGGTGTGTCTGCGGCTAATTGTATGTGTGTGTGTGTGTGTGTGTTAGTTGCCAAACAAAGAGCCAAAATAATAGTTGATAATGCCGATAAGGTGAGGTGCTTACACTTGATTTTAGTTAGATGTATTTTTTTTCCCACCATATAACAAACTAGAACCGGTTCGCAGCACATTTGTTTGAGGTTTCATTAGAGTATGTGCTCAGTTGCGATGAATATAGCTAATTAAATTTTGCACAACGATTTTGGGGGCCTTGCCCCTAACCCAGAAACTGGTAAAGGCTTAAGAATGAGCGCATAAGCTTTGGTAATAAAATATGAAAAAATGTTTTCATTAGAAGTCGATAGGTCGGCAAGACGCCCCATTTCAAGGTCCATTAAATTCGATATTTCATATTCCCTCAGCAACGCCCTCTCCCTCTCCCTCTCTCTCTCTCTATCTCTATCTCTCGTGGTGTTGACATCACTTGTAATAAATTTCCAATTATGTGTGTCGGCATAAATTAAACGAAGCATCCATTGACAGCGCACTAAGACTTAATTGACCCTTTAACACTAACTTTGCCTCGACAAAATATATAATAAAAAATAATCAAATAAAAATGTCAGCGATAAGCGCAGAATATGACGTCGTTAGTACATTAATCTTAAGCGTCGCTTATTTTACAGAAAATATACAAAAATTTAAAACAGATTAGAAATGAATGCTACATTATTTGTTGCATTTTGCATTGCAATTATTTATAGAAAAAATGAATGTTCAATCTTGAAATGCTCTTTATATGAAAAACACAATAAAATGATAATAATTTCGCTTGTAAATTATACTTATAAATACATTTTTTATTTGTGTCAATGTGCAACTCAACCGAAAATATTTGCATTTGCTGAACGTTAAATAAATGGATTAAGAAACGAATGTGCATATAATTATAGCTTTTAATATATGTATATTCTTCGATTTAATTTCAGTTAGTAGTTTTGCATTTTGCTAATCAACATAATCTTCATCTACTGCGACTTGGGTCTGGGAAAATGTTCAGTTTGAATTTCAAAGAGCTGACAAAATTTGTACCAATTATGAAAGAAAAACTCCCTGGAGTGCAATCAGCTAAGCGCATATGCATATACTTGTTGTTGTTGTTGTTGTTGCCTGAATATGACGACAAAAGGCAGATACAGATAAAAACTGCTCTCAAAAGATACTTCCTTGCTGCCGTGGCGCAGTTGATAAAGGAAACGTTGTGTGAGCCAAACCACAAAGCAGCAAAGGAAGCACAAGAAAACGAGAAAAAAGAATGAAAATAATGATACTGAACGGAACGGAACCGTAAACCCATAGCCAGAGGCTGATAACTTTATCAATGAAAAGTCAAATGCAACCGGAGTGGGGGGCAGCACATAAAGAAGTAAAACGAATGTTTTGAATGTCATAACATATGCAAGCGATAAAAAATAATGACAAAGAGTGAGCCGGCAATTTATGAATGCCACAATTTAAATAAAGTTATGGATACCTCCAGTCCCCGATTTTGAGAAACCAATCGACATCGTGCTGGTAGTATTCGAACGCGTAGATAAGGCCCTGCCGCACCAGCGTCCAATTGTCTGTTGTGTTGACCAGTGGCACATAGGGCTCCAGCTCCAGATCCGCCTGCCCACTAACCAGCAGCAGCACATTGCAATGCCTGCCCCAGGTGCGCTTCACATACCTGGCCGCATCGGTGTACCAATATTTGTAGGTCACCAGGCAAAGGACACGAATCTTATCGTAGAGTGGGTCAGCGACTATAGATTGTGTTGCTAATGACCCACTCTTGGCAATACGCCCCACCCTGGTGGCCTTCAGTTTCGCCTGGGTCTTCCAGTAGAGCGCGACCAGCAGCAGGAGTATAATGCAGATGTAGAACACATGGAAGCCACGTCTATGCGAAACCATTGCTGACAACTATACTAAATGGGCTTGTGATTAATGACACCCACTAGAGCAGCAGAGCAGCACATATGATAAGAAATTAATCAGACCTAACATACAAATTTGACATGCAGATATAGGTTCCAATTCTAGCTGGTTACTCGTCTAAGTTATCAGAAGTTCAGTTAGTTTCCTACCCAAGTTAGTTGGGCTTGGCGATGTGCTCAGTGTGGCGTGTTGTTCCCTCGCAGATTCTTACGGAAGCAGACACCGTAAATTGCAAACCGGCTTTCCTTTATGGCTGAGCTATTTCCTTAATTTCGGTTTTTATAACAAAACAATTGTGCTTTGTTGAAAGAACATTGAACTTTGTCAAGTGAACCTCATAATAACCCATTATAATGATGCTTATAGTTTTTATCTGCTTGGATTAAGTCTTATGTTTCCCAGCTAAGCTGTCAGATAATTTAATTTCCTACATTGTTTTTAATTGGCATATATTTTGTTCTTATAATATTTTGCAATAGTCAATGAATGATTTGCGTGCACTCAAGAGCATATCCGATTTGATGGGCAATTACATACATTTAAATTAAGTTTAAATGATAATTGGATCAAGTTTAAGACGGGTGGCAGCTTTAAGATACAACTTTTAGAATTAACACAACTAGTTTGAGCTGATTCTGTAAGCAAATGCTAAAAATATGTTACCAATACAATAAAAGCTAGCGGATCGTGCCCTTCTGATGTTCGCTTTTATTTTGCATTGTAAATATTATATAATCCCAGCTTAAACAGTCGACTTCATATTGTTCTCATCTGTTGTTAGTTAAGTCCAATATTGCCACAGCAAACAGACAGCTTAAGCACTACAAATAGATACAATTAAAGACCTGCCAGATTGGACCATAAAACCCAAATCCCTGAACCGAACTCCAACTAAACGGAGCATCGCGGCTTTAGTGTATTTCTCTTGAAATCTGGCAACTAAAGCAACAGCAACCTGCTGCTCCAAAGCAATCGGAGCCCGGCCAATCCAATTCAAGCCAAGCTAAACAAACATTAAGTTACAAAATAAAATCTTTGGGCCATAAAATTAAAACACAGCAGAAGAGAGCATAACAGAAAGAGACGGAGCGCGTGTGTCAGAGGGAGTGCGCAACACGTTAATCTTGCGACGCGAAGCTTATCAGCAAAACAAACCTGCAAGCAACCTACTTTATATGTGAATGTATCTCTATCTGTAGCTGTGGCTGTGGCTGTAGCTGTATCTGTGGCTGCATCATCTGTGTATCTGTAACTGTGGCTGTGGCTGTGTCTGCATTTGTATCTGTCTGTATCTGCAGCTACCTCGAAACCCTTTACCCCTTGGCCCGAATGCTGCGCTTTGATGTCTTCTGATGCAAGCGCCGAGATAGGAACAGTTAGCAGTTGGCAACACTCTTAAACCTTCTTCGACCCTCTCTCTCTACCTCTCACTCTCAATTTCCCTGTATAGTTCTATTTTTTATGAGTTGGGTTCACGTTTAGGTCTGGCGAGCATCTTGCTGCATGCCCATAACTTTGACTCTCATCTAACTTTTATTTGCATTTTTATTCGTTCTAAGAACTTTTATTTCGCTGCCGGCTGAATCTAATTTGATTTGTTGACTAAAACAAACAGTTTTTAAAAATGCCTAACTGGCATCTACTTTTTCGTTTTGTTTTTACTTATTTAGCATAAATTTGAACTTTATTGCGCTTGAGTATTTATTCGATATTTTTAGCGTTTATTTACATGTCAAACTTGATCCAATCCGAGATGATAATTTGCATATTTCGAGTGAGTAAACTTTCAAGTATTTTGCCAGCTGCATTTATAGCCAAGTCAACATTGTTCCAAGGCTTACCCATTTGCAATGCAGGGTATACAGTGCATTGCAGCTACCCACATGTATTAACCTAGCTAAATGCCAGTAGTAGAATTCAGTAGCCAGTTATATTTAAAAGTCAGGCTACTAGTTTACAACTATCCCGTATTCTGTTAATAATAATAATTAGTTACCTTTTGAATCTGTTGATTAATTCAACTATTTGCGAGATACCACGAGTGCTCGGGTTGTTACATTTGTTACATATGCATTAAGTGGTTTTTTGCATGCCTTTCATTAAAATGAATTTGTTCTTAGAAAATATTCTATTGCACTTTTAATATAATAAATATTCATTTTATATATTTATTCGAGCGCCACATTTGCCGTGGCACATTGCAAAGGCAAACAAATCAAATGGCAAAATCTTTATAGCCAATGCCCATCAATTCACGTTTACTTAGCAGCTTTTGTTTTTAGCCAAACCTTTCATTCACCTTGTGTGGCCATAAAATTTGAGTAGAACGTTAAATAAAAGCCATGTAAAATCAGCAGCGTCGTGTGTTCCGAAAATGTTTGCTCAAGTCGAAAGGAAAGAGATAAATATTTCAAAGCTGAATATTTAAGCACAATTAACGCAAGGCTTTTAAAAATATTAAATAAAAACAAGCAAAAGCTGACACGAGTCGCAAACATTTTGAGGCAGTGTGACTTTTAATGCGAATGCAAATAGCTGTGTTTAAAGAGTTTAGTTACTTTTGACACACGACAAGGCAGCGAGATAGACACAGCTGGATTCAAATCAAATGAAATGTGTAAACTCTGAAGAAACAAATCTCTCTGGAATGCCTTAATATTATTAATGTCAATATATCATATGCGATTGCTCAATTAACTGTCTATAAATGCATCGGGTCTTAACAGTAGTAGGTATGTTATAAATATTAATTATTTTAGTCAGCGTACAAGTCAATAGTCTTTTTAATTAAGTCAATATACTATTTAATAAGACCTTTTCGATTATATAATATCACATTTTATGCGGCTAACTAAGTTAAATATTTCGTTGAGGCTTGGGCCTTGGCAAAAAACGCAATATTTGTATTTTTTGCGTAACCTTTTCAACGAGCTTAAACAATTTATTAAATATTTATTATATATATTTACAGATGCATTTACTTGGATATTTATTTGCCAAAATACCATATGCACGAACCAAACTGACCCAATATAAATATTTGTACATATGTATGCATATATACATATATCTATATATTCATTTATTTATGCACCCGCTTCTAGCAAATAATGTGAGATAAAAAACAACCAAACTGGCTTGCCAATTTTTTGCGCCACCTCCTGAAAAGTGGGTCAAATGTTGCGTATGACGTAGTCGAATTTGGATTCGGATTCGTCGTCCGACCGGTTTTCACTTTCAAACATCGTCGGCGGCGGGGCGTCTGCAGCTATTCCAGAGCTTTGGCCAACGAATTTGGCGGTTAATTGAAAATTCATTCAACTAAATACCGCTGCCGTTGGAGGGACTGAGGCCAAGTTTTAGCTTGGCCTAAACCGTGGGCTAATGTGCATTTTATTAATAAATTGTTCGTTTCATTAGGCTGGCTGGCTAGCTGGCTGGCAGACTCCACAGGGCAACTTTCTCCCCATCTGCATCTCGTGGATGGTTTTTTAATAAATTGTTTGCCCTTTGGTTGCGCTTTCTTTCTCCCGCCCATCATCAACTGCCTCTGCCTCTGCCTCGGACTCGGCATCTGCATTTAGTTACGGATTTGGGCATTTTATTTGAATTGTAAGCTAATTATGTTGTTTATGTTGTATAATATTTTGATATGCAGTCCGGACAACACATGTTTTCTTGCTTTTGCAATAAACTTTTTGAGGCGTGCCCTATCAAATGCAAATGAGATCTCTTAAGATGATATTGTGATACGAGTCGATTTCAAAGGCAGACCCAAGGCGTGACTAAGGCATTAAGCCAGTACCCAGAGTATAAGGCAACCTTTATAAAACCATTACGCTTCAGCCCATTAGCCGATCAATTAGTTAGCATAAACCGAAACTCATTAGCAACTATTTCAAGTACACACTACAAATATTTGCCCGTTTTGTGAGCAATTAACTATTAGACTAAAACGCTAAAAATACTTGAAGAATTCTCATTGTAACACATGTTGTTAATAGAAACAGCAAAGTCTGTTAACAGATTGATTTAAGGCGGAGTTTTTAGAACAAAAGTAAGTTCTGGAACGGGGTTTGTTTTTTTAGAGCATAAGCTGGCAATTTCTTAAAGATATTTCAACTTCTGCCTTAATGCTAATGTAATAAGGTATTATGTATTAATTGTCAAAGAAGAAAGACGGCAATCGAAAGTTTTTCTCCTCTGAACTCCAAGTTCTTGACAGAGAATACAGTCTGTGCTCAAAGTAACAACACGGCAAATGACAGAGAATGCTTTTATAGATGCGTATGTATGTTGGTTCGAGAACTGGAAACTTAATCGGTTTTGGTAGTATATGGAGCCTACGTGAGAGGATTTGTTATGAATGACGGCAGACGGGAAACATAGTCCGGGCACGCATTGATAGGCACGCGCATGCGCAACATTTTTGGCATATTTTGCGTTGTTTGATATCGATGCCGGCTAATGAATTAATTTGCACACACTGCGGCACACTCTACAGTTTGACAAGTTTGCTTTGTTTTGGGGACAGCGAAAAGTTCACCAATCGATATAAACAGAAACAGAAAGCTAAAGCCCCGCCACCAAAGGAGGCTTTGGCAGTGAGTCATTTATCCATTTCAGTTTTTGCCCACTTAGAATGCATAGAAAATATCATCAAGTGTCAAATAAACTTACTGCTGTCATAAATTGCAATTACAATTAAAATATATTATTTGCGCGACTGGAACACACTGCCACACAATATGCAATATGCAAATGGCAAATGGCAAATGGCAGTTGGCACCTTTTCGCGCATGCATAGCAAGCGGATGGATACCCTGCCCCCTGAGTACAGGTGCGTCTGCTGCTGTGGCAGTGGCTGCACTCGTTTCAGAGCCGGCAAATACTATGTTGAATGTTAAGTTGTAAAGTGAATAATTTGCGCCATCCACTTTATAGTTATGGAATTTTATTTGCCTGCGCGCTCACCTGACCTGCCCCATAGGTGCGCTGGCTGGCGACCAAGCATTTTCGCGACTTTCATAGCAATTTGTTATTGCCATTTGCAGCAAACAAATAATAATTGCGAAACGTACGGCAGAGATAAGCGTGGAAATTGCAATTGGGCAGATAAAAATACGTTAGTAAAATAAATAACGCCTAGCCACAAATAAATAAATTAAAAGTGCATTCAAATGCATTTCGATTGCAAATGCTGCGATTCATAGGCACATATGTTTTATCCTACAGATAAAGTTGATTGTAAAATTAACTATATTTCTTATCAAATTATTTGCAAAGTCCAAAAGATATTACATTTTCCGTTAATTTCAGAGTGTTTCAGTTGAAAAGAAACCGGTTCTCGAACAAAACCACATTTAGTTTTATTCGAACCACTTAGGAGCAATAAATGTAAGCGATCTATTAACATTGTTTTTCACTTTGCCGCACGTTTCGTGCCCTGTGACTTGATTTTTTTGTTTACTCGTATTTGTTGCACACATCTTTACGGCTTCGAAAAACGAAAAAAGAAAAAAACACATTGTAACATCATTATTTATGTCCAAGTTGAGCTGAGCAGAGCACAAGTAAACAAATTTGCATAGCTGGACCGAGTCTGGCGAGCTTATCAATACAAATGACAGGAACAATTGCATTGCAAGTGCTCGTAGAAGCGTGTATAATAGCATATACTCTTTCCAGCTATATCCAGCTGGCTTCTCTATGCAGCTTATCACGTGGCACGTTCTTTGCCGAATGTCAAAGTCAAACTGTCTCCATCTGTCCGCCCGTCCATCTACTTGGGTGGCAACTATCTCAATCTAGTCGGGCATCCGTTGAGCTGTTGCCGCTATTTATAAAGCTCAACAAAGAGATGCCTGGGAAAGCCCTTGACGGGACACGATGGGGCTGATAGGGACTCGGAATGGTTTCTGATTCAGGCGTCAATCAAATCAAATGCAGCGACTGCAAATCAAGTTGAATGCCACTTTGATTGATAGCAAAATAATAAATGCGAATGCAAAGGGCGTTGATAGCAGCAGTTGAGGTGAGTTTGTGAACAATAGAAGACTAGCGATATTAAAGTATAATATTTGTATAATTTATTATGCGTCACATTGTTGTCTACTTAGAAGCTAATAACAATAAAGCAATAAAGCTGAACAAATCTTTATCGAGCATATAGGTATTTTTATAAGTACAGGTAGTTTATATCATTTGTTGCGAGTTGTCTTTCTTTCCTTCTTTTTCTATAATCACAGCGCTTAGTTGAATCTAAGTACATAAATATCATATCGCATCGAATCGCGGCCAACTAACTATTTAGCCACAACAGCAACAATTATCACAGAGCACATTTTGGTTGGTATCTTTGCGATCTTGACCATCCAGCTAGTTCAGATCTCGGTGTTACACACACCCTGGAGAGCCATATTTAGCATTTATCGCCTTGGCCTTTCGATGTCTCGTCTTTCGTTTGGTTTTGGCCAAGCGGAGATTTCTTCTTCTCGTCTATGGTCTTAAAGCCAAATACCTCAGCGTAGCTGGGCACAAAATTGGACTTATTGCTTTCGCATGTGGGTGTGGATGTTGCTGCTGCTGCTGTTGCTGTTGTTGTTGTTGTTGTAGTTGTTGGCAACAGCGGAGTTGTTGCCTCACACAAAGGCAACGTCTGTGACCGCGATGTGCTTGTTGTTGTTGTTGCAGCTTCTACTGCGTCTGTTGTTGTGGTTGTTGCCGTTGCACATGTTGCTCTTGCTGCTGCTCCTCTTTCATGCTTATTGAATATATTAAACACGCTTGGATAGACAATCAGGCACGACGATTGCGGGGTTTTTTGCAGCAACTCCAAGGCAGCTTCATAGCTGGGCAGACCGGAGACCAATGTGTATTCCGGCACCGGATCCTCCGCATCGGGCTGCAGTTTCAGTGCCTCGATATCAATAATTGTGCACTGCGATGAGCTATTGGCATTGTTATGATCTGTACACGGAGAGAAAGGCAGTTAATTAGTTGACAGACTTCATGGATGGCGAATTGCATGTGTGTGTGT